CGCACCTGAAAGTGTGACAGTGAGGCGCGTGGTGGCCACCTCTTGGGCTGGTGCTTGGGCGTGGCACCCAACTGACAGATTTTGACAATGTGCGTCGGTCTGTAGATGCCTCGGCACTTGATGTCTGCCACTCCACGCCGCCTGCCGCCTGCCGCCTGCCGACTGCCGCCCGTTCGTTCAACCGCATCGGAACATGGAGAGTTGTCAACCAGTTGACAGGACATGGAAAAACAGCGTTAACCACATGTCCTGCCGAGTCTTAAGAGCCTTCCCTTTCCCCTCTCCTCCTCTCCTCCTGCATGCCTCTGTGACAGTGGCAATCACTTGATTTGATGGCCCACAACTGCAGGAGCTGCTGCGGCAGCCACATAAAATGCAGTTTCCATTTTTGTGGAAATTTGTGTTGCACAAAAGTCGGTGCTCTGCTGTGCCGTGCTGCTGTCCTCCCCCGCCGTAAGTTGTGGCATTTTTCAGGAGAATTAAGTTAATTAAAAAGTTGCAAGATTTGTGAAGTAATTATCATAAACAAGGCAACTGTGTGCCGCATCTTTGTCGGGGGACTCTACGTCAGCTCCTGTTCGGTGGTACCTGCCCCGCCTCCCCCTCCCCCTCCCCCACCTGCTCCTGCTCCTGCCTTTGCTCTGTGGTTCGTCTTCTCCCAGCCCTTGATGGGGTCTCCCCGTTGTTGTTGGTGGCGCCTCTTCTCCCTGTGCGGATAAAGTTGGCTGCCAGGGAATATAAACACTTCAAGTCGTTCCGCCTGATGCGTTCAGCCAGCCACACGTGAGAGGAGGTGCTGGTGGTGCCACTTGCCAAAGGCAACTTCAAGGATGCTCCGCTCCAAATCTGAGAACCAAAGAGGGAGAGAAGCCAGAGACAGCCCAGAGAGAATGAATGCAGAATGGAATCAAGAGATATGTCAGATGGCAGTTGGCAGTTGGCAGTTGGCAGTAGCCGTAGCTGGCCATGTTCTGTGTGGCAGTTGCACAGTTGCACAGGTAGTGTGGCAGTGGCTGCACTGAGAAAAAATGAGCAACTACGAGACAGAGGAACACACTCGCCACAGAACAAAGGAGACGGTGGGGGGGGGGGGGGGGGGGGGGGGGGGGCGACGCACACACACACGTTGAGAACAGGTACAAAAGTGGAGCTAGCGGTAGCCACATCCACGTCACACCCACCCTCCCCAGCAGGCAGAAAGAAGTCATTGGAGCTCGTTGAGCCGACATTTTGTTATTGCCGACAGTTGCGGCCAGCGCTGGTGACACTTGAACATAACTGGGTTCTGGGCTCTGGGTTCTGGGCTCTCGGTTCTCGGTTCTGGTCTCTGGACCGCCTTTTGTGCCCCCGCTTGAGTGCACTGATTATGCACCAGGGAGCCCAAGAATCTCTCCCAGAAGGGGATTTACGGAGCGCGAACGAGAGAGTGGAGAGCCTCAACAGGACGCGCTACGATTTACAGCCTCTTATATTTGTTGGGGGTGCAACTAGGGCTAAGAGACTCCTGCCTTAACATTGTTCGTACACTTAAATAAACCTTTGACCTCGCAGATGATTAGACCTCAGTTTTGCTGATTTAGCTGTGCTCTAAGCTGATTGAACAGGTTTTATTCAGCCATAAATAAACTGCAGAGACAACAGTATTTGCATGCATTATTATTCATCTCTCGAACTGGAACATATTGCTGTTTCTGCTCTCAATCGCCAAGCAAAATATGCGATTACACGCGGAGAAAAAGCCCTGAGAGCCCCCGAATGTTTCCACTTCACTTTAAAAGTGTACATATGTACATATATCTATTGGATTTGCTCCGAGAGGGAAAATTGTAAAAGAAAGTGTTCATCGTTGAACAACCTTTTCTCACTTACCCACAATCTTTCTGTTCTTTTCTCATATTCTCGATTCTGATGAATGGTGATGAATGGGGATTCGACGACTTCGAAGTTGCGACAAAACCGCAAGCGAAACGCACAAAATGATTTCCAATAAGAACACACATTTTAGGCATTAATTTCCTAATTGGTAATGCCTCACCATATTATGAACTTCACTTGGAACGAGAGCCCTCATTCCTTTTTGCTTCTTTTCTTCGCTGCACTATCCCATCATAGAGTGGGAGAGGGACAAAACTTGACGAATTTTCAAGCACGCACACACACATAGCTGGGGCTCACGTGATCAAACGAAGAAACATTTTAGATTTTGGCACACGAAAAAAAAGAAATGCAAAACTAATATGTTTTTCTACACATATCTATATCAAACATTTTACATATATATCACACATTGCGGCACTTTTCCTTCTTAGATCTGAATTTTGTTCTCCATTTCGCCGCTTTCTGCGCCCCCGCAATTGATCAAACGCATTTTCCTGCATTAAAACACTTTTTCCTGCATTTACGTTTCATTATTGCACTAAACTTAACTTCACACATCTGCTGGGCAATTTTCCCGTTTGATTTTTCGTTATTTTCCGGATTTTCACGGATTGAAGAGCGGAGCTGACTTAAAAACGCGCGCTTTGACCGGGTGAAAAAATTTGAGTGACAGCGGTGCAAATGAGGTCATTCTATGCTCTTCTACTCCCACTCCTCTTCCTATTTGCACTCTCTCCCTCTCACTCTCGGCTACTTTTGCTAATACTAATCTCCACTCCTTGCTGTCTTCCTCTGTTACTGCAAAGGGTCACGTCACCACTCTCTCCATTTCACTCCCACTCCCACGCTCTTTTGATCTCTCTTCGCAGTAGCATCGGAAGAAGACAAGGAGCATGATGAACTTACACAAGGTGGTCCGAGAGTCTGCTCTCGCAGTGCATCAAACGCTTTCAGTAGTGCTGAGCGTAAAACCCGAAAAAGAGTTAGAGTTAGACCACCTTGTGCAATTTCATCACGAGCAAAAGTGCCCGAAGCGAGCGTGGGAGAGAGAGAAAATAGGAAGAGGAGAAGGAGATCGAAGAACGCATTTGCACCGCTCTCACTCAAATTTTTTCACCCGGTAAATGCGCGCGTTTCTAAGTCAGCTCCGCGTTTCAATCCGGAAAATGGTGAAAAATCCATCGGGAAAATTGTCGCGCAGGTGTGTGAAGTGAAGCTTAGTGTTGTGATGAAGTGATTATATAAAAAGTGTGTTTTAGTGCAAGAAAATCTGTTGAATAAATGCGGGGGCGCAAAAGCGGCATAATGGCGGCATAAATGCAGGTCAACGAAGGAAAAGTGCTTGTGATAAATGTACATATATACTAGATACATATGTACATATTTGTAGGCAAACATATTATTTTTGCATAAATTTTTTTTTCATGTGTGAAAATCTAATCTGTGTTACTCTTTCGTTATTTCGCCTTTTTTCGTTTCCTTCTTCGTTTTCGCAAAAGTACCAAAAGCGAGCGTGGGAGTGAGAGAAAATACAGGAATGCAGGAAGCGGAGCGGAGATCGAAGAATTCACTCAAATTTTTTTCACCCGGGACAAGCACGCGCTTGTAAGTCAGCTCCGCGTTTCTATCCGTGAAAATGCGGAAAATGGTGGAAAATCAAACGGGAAAATTGTCGCGCAGATGTGTGAAGTGAAGTCTAGTGCAATAATGAAATATAAATGCAGAAAAAAGGGTTATTTAATGCACGAAAATGCGTTTGAACAACGGCAGGGCGCAGAAGCTGGCAAAATGGAGAACAAAAATGAAAATCTACTAATGTTTGATATATGTACATATGTATGTATGTGTACAAAAACACATTTTTTTTTGCATATTTATTTTTTTCGTGTGCCAAAATCTAAAATGTATTTTGTTCGATCACGTGAGCCCCAGCTATGTGTGTGTGCGTGCTTGAAAATTCGTCAAGTTTTGTCCCTTTCCCACTCCATGATGGGATAGTGCAGTGAAGAAGAGAAGCAAAAAGGAATGAGTGCTCTCCTTCCAAGTGAAGTTCATAATAGGGTGAGGTATTACCAATGCCCAATTTTTGTGCTCATATTGGAAATTATTTTTTGCGCTTCGTTGGCGGTTTGGTCGCAACTTCGGAGTCGTCGCATCTCCATTCATCAGAATCGTCAGAATTAAGAATATGAGAAAATAACAGAGAGATTATTGGTAAGTGAGAAAAGAGAATGTTTTCTCTAATGCAACATTGTAGCGCATTAATATAGGTATTTTCACCATGGTGCAGCGCAGTCGGCCCTTTGTTGGCGATTTGATACCAAAATAATACTTTCATGGGGGACCAACTGGTTTTTGCATTTAATTTGTATATAATACCCATACCAAAAACGAAAACAAAGGAGGTCCACAATCCCCCGAGCTGCATATTTCTTTTCTGGTTTTGACAAATTAACGAATAATCCCAAATATTTAATGTTTTCCAGTCTCAATGTCCCATAAAGCATCAGCATCAATGGCCAAGTCGATATAGCCACGTCTGTCTGTCCGTTTGTCCGTTTGTCCGTGTGCGCGCTCTGGTTGATGGGAGTATCGGGTATAAATGTAGAGTCGCGGCCGTAGCTGCGATTCGCAAAGTTCCCCCTCGTTCAAATATGGGTTTGTGTCTCCTTACTATGCCGTTTTTCTCTGAGTGTACATTCAGAGCTCTCATCGAACTGATGCCATTTTTAATGCTATTTTTCGAGGACCATAAAAGATGGAATGTTTCTGCCACCAATCAAGGGTATTAGAGGCCTCTCTGTGGTCGAGTTTCCAGTTATCAAAGTCATGTCTCTCTGCCATGGCAATGTCTGGGCGACTGAAGAAATCACGGTGATTGAGTGGGAACACGGCCCGGAACAGGCGAATGCTCGATAAGAGGCCCCCCAAAATGCAAGTCATGATTGGTAGCAGGTTTTGCGTTTGTTTTGCTCTCGTGTTTCGCTTTGGCTTAGTCTCTGTCTCTGTCGCTCTCGCTCTCCCTTCCTCCTGCCCTGTTCTCGAGTTTGATGATAAGGTGGGTCTATAAAAAACCTGACTACACGCCACGGAGATTCAGTTGTTTGTCGAGTGGCGCTGCGAGAATGAATGCTTGGCAGAGTCTGACGCGACGCCTGGCCGTCGCCACAGGCCCCATTCGATCGTTGAGAGGGTCCTCGGCCCAGGCGCAGACACAGGCCCAAGCGAGTGTCGAGGATGTGGAGGCACGCCCCTTCAGCGAGGTGCCGCGGCCCGGCAGGCTGCAGTTCATGCGGAGCTTCATGCCCGGCGGGGAGTTCAGCGACGCCTCCATTGTGGAGTTCTCGATGGGCATGCGGCGCCGGTACGGGGACATCTTCATCCTGCCAGGGATGTTCGGACGCAAGGACTGGGTGGTGACGTTCAACACCGGCGATATTGCCACTGTGTTCCGCAACGAGGGGGCGTGGCCGCATCGCGAGGCCTTCGACTCGATTGTGCACTTCCGGCAGCACATTCGGCCAGACGTCTATGGGAGAACCCTGGGGCTGACGGCGGGGTAAGTAGACCCCGCCCCAAGTGTGCCCGCTTTGGCGATCTAATCGGAAGAGTTTTTTGTCTGCAGGCAGGGGGAGGACTGGGGCAAGATGCGCTCCGCCGTCAATCCGATCTTCATGCAGCCCAGGGGCCTCCGGATGTACTTCGAGCCGCTCTCCAACATCAACAACGAGTTCATCGAGCGGTAAGGGTAGCTCCCCCGAGCGGCTTGTCTCTTCGCCCAGAGTAATGTGAGATCCTCCCGCTAGCATCAAGGAGATACGCGATCCGAGCACCCTGGAGGTGCCCAGCAACTTCAACGACGAGATGCAGCGCCTGATCTTCGAGTCGCTGGCTCTGGTGTCGTTCGATCGGCAGATGGGGATCATCCGGAAGCACAGGGACAACTCCGACGCCCTGGCCCTCTTCCGCACCTCGAGGGACATATTCCGCTACACCTTCCAGCTGGACGTCCAGCCATCGGCGTGGAAGTACGTCTCCACGCCCACCTACCGCAAGATGATGCGCACCCTCAACGAGAGCCTGGACGTGGCCCAGCGCGTGCTCGCGGAGTCGCAGCAGCTCCTGGAGCAGCGGCGCCGGGCCGGCGAGCAGGTGAACAGCCACAGCATGCTGCAGCGCCTCATGGACATCGATCCCAAGCTGGCCCTCATCATGGGCCTGGAAATCCTGTTCGCGGGCGTGGATGCCACGGCCACGCTGCTCTCCGCCGTGCTGCTCACCCTGGCCAAGCATCCGGAGAAGCAGCACAAGCTGCGCGCGGAGGTGCGCCAGGTGATGCCCTCGAAGGAGTCGCTGCTCAACGAGGACACCATGAGGGACATGCCCTACCTGCGGGCCGTGATCAAGGAGACGCTCCGCTTCTACCCCAACGGCCTGGGCACCCTGCGCACCTGCCCCACCGGCGTCACCCTCTCGGGCTACGCGGTGCCCCCGGGCACCCCCGTCCTGCTCGCCGCCAACGCCCTCATGAAGGACCCCGCCCACTACCCGCGCCCCGACGAGTTCCTGCCCGAGCGCTGGCTGCGCGATCCCCAGTCCGGCCAGAAGATGCAGGTCAGCCCCTTCACCTTCCTGCCCTTCGGCTTTGGGCCGCGCATGTGCCTCGGCAAGCGCGTGGTGGACCTCGAGGTGGAGACCAGCGTGGCCAAGCTCATACGCAACTTCCACGTGGAGTTCCTGCACGATGCCTCGAGGCCCTACAAGACGCTCTTCGTGATGGAGCCGGCGATAGATTTTCGCTTCAGGTTCACAGACATCCAGGAGTGAGAGGATCGCATGCTAGATATGATTAGAGTACTTCCAATAAACTAAGCTCCCAAATCGATAGATAATGTTCGAATGTTCCGCTTGCCAAGAGTCGAACAACATTTAAATGTTTGGCGGTTGGCGGTTGGTGGCGAGAGGGCGAGGGGGCGGCCTGTGCGGGGCTCTGGTCAGGTGTTCCGGCCACGAACTCTGCTCTGCGTCGGGGCCAATTTGGCCAATTGGAAAATGCAAATTTAATTAGCGTCTAATTTTGTAAAATTGGCGTAAAGTTGAAAATCGCTCGCTCGACACCCCCTCTGCCCCTCTCTTTCGGGGCCGGCGGTAAATGGATTATTAATTGTAGGAATATGTTAGCTGGGGATTGGGTTTGCGGTCTATCGATTACCGAGCGATTATATGGGAGGATGCCATACATAATCTCTGGCGCCTCAGTGGAAAAACAAGCAGGCAGCTCCCTGCTTATCCCAGGCCAAGGACACTCTTTGTCCTGCCTCGGGTGGGTGTCGGTAACGAGTGAGCGTCTGCGGCGGGTTTTTCCAGGTGGAGGGGATGCTTGTGCGCAAATATTTCTAGCAGCAGCGGCAGCGGCAGTGGCAGTGGCACCAAGCAGCAGAGCGGTGGGCAGACATACCGCCTGCGGCCGGCGGAGTTATGCCAACTGGCACTCAAAGCCGGGGAAAGCGCGCCCAAAGCTCGTCGGTGGGACGGGGGCGGGGGGCAACAATAATTTAAGCGATTTTTGCGCTTTTTGCGAGCGGGCTAATGGCAGGCTTTGGCAGGAGCCTTTGCCGTGGCTGAAATTCCCTGCTTTTTGTGTGCTGTTTTCCGGTTGGATCCGCCCCAACGCCCTCCCCCCCCCGACCCCTGGGCGAACGCACAAAGCTTATGAATTCCGCAATGCCGCTGCTGCGGTGGGGGCACAAAGTAAAAATGCAGAGCATGTGATTGGTGTTGCAAGAGGGCTGGTGGGGCATCCGGAGAGGGCAACGGATGCGTTCAGCTCCAGATGTCTATCATGCTGCCACAGAGCCATCTCCAGCTGCAGGCTGCAGCCACCCCGCACTCTCCTGCTGCTCCCCATTCAAATTGAATCTGAGGAGTGGCCACGCACAACGTGGCGTATGCGTAATGCGGCATGCCGTCATTTGCGTGCGCCTTCGCCTGGAAATGCCTCTGCTTTGGCATAACTAATCTGAAGAGCCTCCCCGCCCCCGACGTTTCATATTTCTAGCTGGTCGCACTTCACCCCCTTCCCCCCCTTCCCCCGTCTCTTCTTGCCCCTTTTCCCTTTGTTTTTCCATGTTTTTTGTGAAAAATTTCATACTCATCAAGTTGACAAAGAAAAAGTTTTTCATTATTACATTTCGCTGTCATTTGGGCGCAGAAATAGCTTGGAAAAGTTTTCATCCCCTCTGCCTGCCCCATGGCGCTGCCCTGTAACTCGAGTGCAACTGGCACCCCCCACCCCCTGCCTGCCTGCCCCTGCCTGCCCCTGCCACCCGCAGCAACAGTCAGCTCTCGTCATCAGATTGCCACAAAGCAGAAGGGGCGAGGTGACAATGGCTGGCCCAGTGCGTACAACCGAGCCGGGACGAGGCGAGGCGAGCCGAGGCGAGTCGCATCCTTGCACATTAATCCATTGGTGGCTGGTCTTGGTCCTTCGTCTTGAACCCTACCCGCTGCCGCTGCTGCTGCTGCTGCTGCACGCAAATGAGGGTATGGTCAAATCACTCACTGTCATCCTGTGTCCCAAGGAATGCGTTCAGCATGTCCTTTAATTTTTCGCCTCCACCGGGATCTTTCTCAGTCTCAGTCTCAGGCCGCCCCCGAAGCCAGCTCGAGCAATTTCTATAACTTGACGTTTGCCACTTCCTCCCCTGCCACCCTACTCCCCCCCCTCCCCGGCCACTGTACTGCCGCATGCCGCTTTTCTGCTTTGCTGCCTGTCAGCGGAGCTTAAGATAAAAACTTTCCTTTCCACCGAAAAAGCGGGGAACAACCAGAAACAGGGGGCGTCAGGCGACGGGGGACGGGGGACAGGGAGATGGACAGAAAGGGTTGACGCTGACATTTAGCTTTCGCATATTTGCACACACCCAAAGCGACGGGACTCCCCTGGCTACTGGCTCCCGACTCCCGGCTCCTGTATCCTGGCTACTGGCTACTGGCTGCTGGCCATATATTTTATAGACTAAGGCCAAGACATGACAAATTCTCAAACAGAAATTCTTCAGCCAGGATTCTTGGCCGAAACTTAAGTTCATTTTTTGCTCGATTGTGCCTCGTTTCGGGTGTTTTTTTTGCAGACCAAAAGAATTCAAATTAAATTTCGACTGCTGCCGGGAACTTGGATTTTTTCTGTGCGTGTATTTCTGACACGTCCTGTCAATGGTAGCAGCCACTAGCCCTGTGATTTGGCCAGGAAAAGGGCACGGCAGAGGCAAGCTCCCAATGTGCAAAATAGATCAGATATATCGTCTATCTTTTACCATCAATGGTCTCTACGCCCTCAAAGTCCTCTGTGGTGCTCGAAATTCCTCATTTATTCCGATGATGCTGCCAGGGAAACAATCAAAAGTTCTTCGTGGCCAAATGGCCATCGTTTCTTGTTGCTTGTTTTGATAATTGCTTGGACAATCGCGTTACCCTTTTATCGACATTGGTCTGTATGGCCCCCCCCTCTTCAGCGGGGGACTTGACCGCGGAATTGGGGCTGTGGAGGAGGGGTCGGGGTACGTGTTCTCCTCCCGCAGTAGGCCCGGTTTCATTCATCAAGTGTAGCGCACACGCATTGCCAAATTTACACCCCTACACACACACACACACACACACACACACACACACAGACGAGTCCTGGCTGCAGTAGGAGACCCACTCACCCATTCATATATTTTATGTTTTGTTTACACTGTTACCGGCTTTTGCAACAAAAGCAAGAAGTGCCAGAGGAAGCTGTGAGAGAGAGGGAGGGCGCGCACACAGAGAGAGAGAGAGAGAGAGAGAGAGAGTATGCTTGGGGCTTGCGAGTGACGTCACTGGCATGCGTGCTATAAAACGGCGTATAAGAGGTGTATAAGCGGAAAAGAGAGCGCAAAGAGTGGACCCGAACGCGAGAGAGAGCAGAGAGGCGGAGGAGCAGAGGAAACGAAGGCGTGCGGGCATGTTGTGTGCGCAATTAAGGAAGGAACTCGCAATTTGGCTGCTCATTTCGTACATTTTGCGGTGAGTAGCAGTTTCCGCAGACCCTAACCACGAGCGAAAGAGAGAGAGAGAGAGACAGAGAGGGCTGGCGAGAGTGAGGGTGAGAGCGAGAGCGAGAGCAGGAGCTTAGCTAACGATGTGCAACGAGCGACGAACAACGTCATCGGCTTACGGCATCGCATCGAACAAGCAGCTTTGGCGTCGTTCTGGTCCCCGAACTCCGGCGCTGGCTCTGGCTCTGGCTCTGGCACATCGTCGTCATCGTCGCATCGTCGTCATCGCCAGGCCTTGCCATCTTCATCGCCATCGCCATCGCCATCGCCAGGAGCCTGCAGCAGGAGGCATGCAGCGAGCAGAGTTGTCGCTGTCATTGGCCAAACAGAAACGAGTCAACGTTCGAGTACGTCGGTCGGGTCATTGCGCTGTGTGTTGCACTCTGTGTCGTCGTCGGGCAGCGGCCACCAACCAAAGAGTAGGAGGGAGAGGAGAGGAGAGGAGAGGCGCAGGCAGCGAAGAGCGAGCGGACACAACTCTATAGCACAGCATCGGGCGCAGCACATGGCGACTGTTTTGCCGTGTCTGTGTGTGTGTGTGTGTGCGTGTGTGTCTCCTTGTGTTTGTGATATGTAAAACGGTTTCAACGCCGCCATGTGGCAGGCCCAAAACTAGAGAAAAGTGCCATTTTGTCGCCGAACCGAAACTCTGTTTATCCTGCTCGACGATCCTGCTTCCGGCCAGGGATTTTTCGTGTAAGTTCCAGCTCCCTCACATTTACACGTTTACAGATGCCTCCTCCTCCTAGTCCTCCTCCTTTCCTCCTTTATTCCTTTCTTTTTTGTCTATTTTTGCCGGCTTTTGCCTGAAAGCACGCGCTCTCTCTCTCTCTCTCTCTCTCTCGCGCTGGTGCTCTCTGCGCCGCCAGAAAAAAAAGAGCGCGCCAAAAGCTCCACAAATCGTAGTAAGCGGCGAAGTTCAAGTGCCGGTTGTACTACGAGCACGGGGTGGCGCCACAGACGGGGGCAGAGGCAGGGGGCAGGGCAGGGGGCAAGGCAGTGTTACCTGCCTTTTCGATGCTCCTTCTCTCATATCATTAAAATTCCATTTTGTCTCGTCTCGACTTTTAGAGATATTTACCTTTTTATCCCTCTCCACCTCCCCCTCCCCCTCCCCCTCACCCCTCTCCCTTTGTCTCTTTTATGTTGTGGCATTATTTGCTGTGTGTGTGTGTGTGTCTCCACTTCCTCTTTGTGCAACGTGCAAGCTGCTCGGCTGGTGCACGTGTCGCCGCTGCTGCTGTGTGAAATTTCCGCACCGGCAACAAAAGTGCGAAATAATGACCGACTGCCTGTCACACGGCTGACTGCCTGCCAGCCTGCCAGCCTGGTACTGTGCCTCCTGGCGAACAGAAGGAACTTGCCACAACTGTGGCATCGACTGGTTACTGCCATTGTTGTGTCCCCCTGCGCGGATGTTGTCTGTAAAGTTGGTTAAACAATTTATTTGCCCGCACAAAAACAGTTCTACTGGCAGTCCCCCGTCGCACGTCCCACGTTCCATGGATGCGGAGTTCTTTGAACTTTGACACTGCCCTGGCCTGCTGCCTGCCCTCCTGCCCTCCTGCTCTCCTGCTCTCCTGCTCTCAATTGTCTTGCATAATTAATACCTGATTATTGCATTGCACGGCACTGCAGCCGCCCTGCCGCCTGGCTCCTCCTCGATTGCCCTCATCAGCAGGAGATCTCTCTCTCTCTCTCTGCCGCCCCCCACGTGTGTTTTATTAAAAATTCTTGGGCATCATTACCAGCAAATGCCGCTGACAAATAAAATAATATGAGAAACTGAAGAAGGCGCTGGAGCCC